TCTTGCAGAGATGACAGAACGGAGGTACGGGTTTTGGTTGATGCCGATTGTTGTTGTTGTTGTAGCGCCGTTGAGTGTGAAACGCAAACTCGGGTACTGACGTCTTCTTCTTGTGCCGTTCTTCTTGCAGATCCATGTCTTGCTGTTCAGCGTGAATTTCAGCGCAGAGTGCTGCTTCGGAGATCTTCCCGTGAGCTCGGAGTATGGCGCGGGTGGAGCGCCAATGAGGACCAAGGCCGCCAATGATGACTGTGACGAAGGCGTCTTCCGATATCGATCCTCCGCATCGAAGGAGTTTGTCGCGCAATTCGCGGCAGCGACTGATATACGTGTCAAAGTATATGCATGTTATATATATGTAGGCTGTAGTGGGGTAGCCAACATGGGGTACAGCCCCTTTTAGGGTTTCATACTTGTACCCAACTCTTTCATAGTTCATTCATCCCTGCTGCTAGATTCTGACATGGTTTCAGAGCACTAGGTCCGTAGGACCGTTTTTTTTCGGGCCCACCTACCGTTGCGGTTACCGCGCTACCCCACGTGTTGTCCTGCGCCTGCCTGCCTGCCTTGCCTTGTGACGTGCTGCGCTGCGCGCGCCGTCCTGCAGCCCTCACGCTGCCTACTGCTGCCCTGGGACTGGAGGTGCCGGTTCTAGGGGGTGCTGCTGCTGGTGGAGCTGGTCCTGGAGGAGCTGGCGCTGAGGGTTCTGGAGCTGATAGAGGTACTGGAGCTGCTGGTGCTGGTGGCACTGCACAGCCGCGCCTGTTCTTCGCTCCACCGTCTCCGTCGTCTCAGCCACCGCCTGACTCTGTGCTTCGCCAGGTTCTTAGTCTCCCTTTGTCTACTGGTCTTCCGTTACAGCCTGGCTCACCGCTGCCTGCTCCTTCTCCTTACACTGAGCAGCCAGGGGGTCTCACTGAGCGTCGTGAGCCTGCGTCGCGTCCTGTCTCGCCTGTCTGTTCCGGTCGTCGTGTTCCTCGTCCGCGTCAGCCGGCTGTCCCCGACACCCACCTCGTAGTCCGTCGTCCTTCCTCTCCTCCGCAGCGTGTTCCTCTGCCGTCTCCTCCTGCGTCTTCTCTGCCTGTCGTTGCGGACCTCGAGTCTGACCGGTTTCGTGCTGAGCACTCTACTGTCACGCGTCTGCTAGCCACTGTTGTCACTGACCCGTCGTTTGAGTCTGCTGCTGCGTCTGCCTTAGTCGCTGAGCTTGTTGACTTTGCTGCTGCCTGTCGTCTAGACTATGCCGCTAGTCTTGTTGCTGAGTCTGAGTCTGTCTGTCCTCCGTCCGTCGGGGGTGAGTGTGCTCTTGGCACGGACGTCCTTGAGGACAGGCAGGAGGACCTTGAGTGTCTTGCAGCCGCTGCGCCTCATCTCGTGTCCATGCTTCTTGCCCCTGAGGGAGACCCGGATGCTCCAGACATCCCGACCCCGCGCTCTTACGCTGAGGCGATCGCGGGTGAGTACTCCTCTCCGTGGCAGACAGCCATGGATGTAGAGATGGCATCATGGAAGTCCACAGGCACCTACGTCGACGAGGTTCCCCCTCCTGGGGCGAACATCGTCAGTGGCATGTGGATTTTCAGGGTGAAGCGGCCGCCAGGTTCTCCGCCTGTCTTCAAGGCTCGTTACGTTGCTCGAGGTTTCAGTCAGCGAGAGGGAGTTGACTTCTTCCAGACCTTCTCCCCCACCCCGAAGATGACCATTCTTCGGGTGCTGCTGCACGTTGCCGCTCAGCGTGACTACGAGCTTCACTCTCTTGACTTCAGCACAGCTTTCTTATAGGGCAGCCTGCACGAGGAAATCTGGCTGCGCCGCCCACCTGGCTTCACTGGGTCGTTCCCTCCTGGTACCCAGTGGAGCCTCCGGCGGCCGGTCTACGGTCTCCGCCAGGCGCCGCGTGAGTGGCACGACACACTGAGGACGACACTTGCGGCTCTTGGGTTTTCTCCGTCGACTGCTGACCCGTCGCTGTTTCTGCGCACCGACACTTCGCTGCCGCCGTTCTACATCCTCGTGTACGTCGACGACTTGGTCTGTGCCACTGCTGACACTGAGGCTCTCGCCCTGGTGAAGTCGGAGCTGCAGAAGAGACACACGTGCACAGACCTGGGTGAGCTGCGCAGTAACCTTGGCTTGCAGATCACCCGGGACAGAGCACGCCGCACCATCACACTGACTCAGTCACACATGGTGCAGCAGGTCCTTCAGCGCTTCGGCTTCACCTGGTCCTCGGCACACGCCACTCCTCTGGCTACAGGTCACTCGCTCTCAGCTCCACCTTCGGACGAGTCCGTAGAGCCGAGTGGTCCTTATCCAGAGCTAGTGGGCTGCCTCATGTACCTGATGACCTGCACTCGTCCTGACCTTGCGTACCCTCTTGGCCTTCTGGCTCGCAACGTGGCTCCTGGTCGGCACCGAAAGGTGCACATGGATGCTGCTAAGAGGGTACTACGCTACTTGTGCAGTACATCGGGCATGGGGCTCGTGCTTGGAGGACGGAGCGACGTTGTCCTCACTGGGCACTCAGACGCTTCTTGGGTTGACGACCAGGCTACGCAGCGGTCGTCACAGGGTTACACCTTCAGCCTTGGCTCTGGTTCGGTTTCTTGGCGTTCTACACGCTCGTCTTCAGTTCTCAGCTCCAGTTGTGAGGCTGAGATCTACGCCACAACCATGGCTGCACAGGAGTTACGCTGGCTCACCTACCTGCTGACCGACTTGGGAGAGCGGCCTCGTTCTCCTCCAGTGCTGTACGTCGACAACAAGGCCGCCATTGCCTTGTGTCAGGAACACAGACTGGAGCACAGAACGAAGCACATCGCTCTGCGTTACTTCCTGGCTCGAGAGTTGCAGCAGCGTAGTCAGCTTCGTCTTGCTCACGTGGCCACTCGGGCCAACACTGCTGATATATTCACCAAGGCGCTTCCGTCTGGTGATCATCAGCGTTTCTGCACTCTGTTAGGCCTTGTGCCCACGTTTCCTCACTTGCTGTAGACTTTGCTTGTACTGTGATCTATATATATACCTGCATGCTTGCTCTGCTAGGTAGAGATCACTGTGCTGTTGTTGTTGCATATATACCTCTGCATGTGAACTGGCCTTGTGGCCCTTTGCTTGTGCTCAAACTGTGTGGTGACGTTGTGATCCACCCTGAGCTTGCTTTGCTTCTCTTGACTGGTCTTGTGACCCCTTGCTCTCCCCCACTTTGCCTATGGGGGTGTGTCAAAGTATATGCATGTTATATATGTGTAGGCTGTAGTGGGGTAGCCAATATGGGGTACAACCCCTTTTAGGGTTTCATACTTGTACCCAACTCTTTCATAGTTCATTCATCCCTGCTGCTAGATTCTGACAATACGCCATCCCCTTTTCGCCCGGTTTCATTTCCACTGTTGTCAGTTGTGCCATTAACCGACTCTGATTGACGCTGTCTGTTGCCTGATACAGGTTCTTCAGGTGGTTGTACGCAAGCTCGGCAGAATTCCCGTATCCCCGGTAAGACCGAATGTTCTGCTGCTGGTTCGGTGTGACGTTGCGCAGTATGATTGTGTACGCCATCATGGACTGGTATGTGTACTGCTGCTTGTCGTATTGCGTCCCGTGCGTTGGATATGGCAGGGACCCGTCGAAGAAGCCAAGAATCTGCACGCCTTCCATCATTAGCTCGAATTCGAATGACCAGGTAAAGAAGTCTTTTCCGTCGAACGGTCTTGATGTCTGCAGTTTTAAGACGTGCGCAAACTGCGACTGAACTTGAAGTGCATCCAATGTCTTCTCTTGCTCAGGTGAAGGCTGCTGGCGCGGTATGAAGCTGACGGAGCCGCGCTGGGGTTCGTACGGAGCGAAGGTAGGTTGTTGCTGATTTCCTCGCGCGTAGGATGAACCATCGAGGCTCATCGGCGTCACATCGTTGTTGTTGTTGCTGTTGTTTGACTGTGCAGGTGCCCCTTGCTGGTGTTGTTCGTAGAAGGACATGAAGGAGAAAAACTTCTCCATCATGCTTGGGTCGAAGCTCGCGGCTTGATTTGCGGGAGTTTCGGTGGATCCAGTTGCTGGTCTTGTTGCTATGCCCTCCTCTGTCTGTAGGTCAGAGGCAGGAGGTGGAGAAGGAGTAGTACCGGGAGAGCCGTTAGAGGAGCTTCTCTCCTTCTGTGTTGCCATGCCTTCTGATATTGTGGGTGTCTTGACAGTAGTTGAGTTTGCCCTGATAGCTCTCATACCATGTTGGGCTGAGAAAAGCCCTTAGGATCTTTGCAGGACTAAACTCTAAGTAGGAACAATGTAGTAGCGGAAGCGTTTTTATGATAAGTCTGTGAACCACCTTGCGCTGGTATGTGAGGGCAAAGTAGATTGATTAATCAAAGAGATACAAGGCTTTTATAAGAGTACAAGGAATATGAAAAGATGCAACTAATAACTGTTTTACTGTTTGCTGTTGCGGTTCGATACAGAGACGACTCGGGCAACTGCTCGATAACGAGTCAGTTGTTTGTCCTTGCTGTCGTGCTGTACTTGTCAGGTCAAAGGTCGTTGACCTTTGACATTCGCGTAACCTCCAGCAGTTACTCAACCTCCGAGGGTTGACTCGCTGATGCTTCGCTGTGTTTCGCTTCGTTTATGACTTGGTGTTTCGACGCGACAGAGGCGCTTAAATCACTTGTTTCCAACAAAGTTTACAATAACATGGGACAACCCTCTTTTGTTTCAATGTTACTGACGCGAAAGCCAGTGTGGTGTATTCCAATCAAGCTACAGTGTACTGTACCATCCGGGGCGGGACAAGGCTGGCAGCATGGAAAGGATTTCAGCTCAAAACATTCTGACAAGAATACGGCACAAAAATTACTGCACCAGCTGCTACACTCATACACATCTACACACATCAGACCTATTTACACAATATACAAAAGAGCACTACGATACCTCTCCTTCACTGCAACAGCTAACTCCAGTCCGTCCATGGTACCACCCCCACCTCTGGTATCCATGCCAGTAGAGTCTCACTCACTGAAACACGTGCCTGCGCCCTGTGGTTCCACCAGTGGTATCAGTGCCGCCAAGTCTGGTGCCCTCTGTGCTGTGCCCCACCTGCGCGGCACCAGTGGTGCCATGATGGCCAGTGGTATGCCCTGTGGTTCCATGCTCTGTGGACCCACGGCCGGGGCTATTTATGACACCGGCGCCATGCCCAGTCATCCCAGTGATGCCATACCCATGCTCCGCCCTGGTGCCATAATCTCCCCCGCTGCTCTCCGTCCGATGCCCAGTCCCAGTCGTCGTTCCATACCCCCCACCAGTGCCATGCCCAGTCCCAGCACCACCAGCACCAGTGCCATATTCGTGACCAGTACCAGTGCCAGCGCCCATCACGCCGTGCTTCTCGTGGCGCGCCTCCTTCTCCGCAGCTTCCCTCTCCATCGCGCCCGCGATCTTGCGCTCCTTCTCCAGCTCCGCGTGCTCCTTCCGCTGCGCCTCCTTCGCGTCCGCAATCGCGCGTGTCTCCTTGCTCGTCGGATTGCGGGCCTTGTCCATGCTCTCCTGAACCTCCGCCTTGCCCTTCGCGACGGCCTCGCCGGTCTTCGCGCTGACTTCGGACATCTTCTCCTTGGCCGCAGACATCATGTCGCCCGCCTTCTGCTTCATGCTCGCCTTGGTAACCGGGTTACCCGAGAGAGGAATTCGAAGTCGCTGACAATCGGGTGGTTCTTCGGTAGCGTGAGGATGTACGGTATGGGACGATGTGGATCGTGCTTGTGGAAAATACGAGAGATTCGGAAGGATGGCCTGGGAGAAAAAGGTGGAGCGGGTTGGATCTTGTACGAATAGGATGATCGAGGAAAGAGAGCGGCATCGTGTCGGGGAGGGATCGAAAAGCCGTGTCGCGCCATGCTCGATAGTGGTGGTTGGTTGTGCGAAAATGTGCGACTCGAGCTTCTACGTCGAGAGCAACTAATGTAGTGAATCCGAACCAGCTGGCACAAATGGAGTGTGACGACAACACGTGGCTCCTAAATAATAAGGTGCATGCTGGCATGAAGAATGCGTAAGATGTAACCAGTTGAGGTGTATTGCTAGCGCGTAATCATCAACCTGCTATAGCTCAGTTGGTAGAGCGGAGGACTGTAGTTGAGCAATCCTTAGGTCACTGGTTCGAATCCGGTTGGCGGGATCGTTTTGCCTTTTCGTTCCCTGCTCGGACCCTGAGCAGGTGTTACATCGGGAAGTTATGTAGTTGTGGGCGCAGGTCGAGCGAATTTGCCAGAGGAAAAAGGCAGGTCGAGCTGGGACTCGACCTACGCGGAAGCGCAAGACAACCCCCACCGCCCCACGGGCTAGGCTCGGCCTGCCCGTGAACCAGTTCTCTGCCCCAACAGATTCGTGCGTGAAGTGTAGCTGGCGAGGCACGTGCTCTTGCCAGCGTCAAGGTGCAGCCGTCAAATTGGCGTGCACCTTTCGCGCAAACGGTTGCGACGTGGTCTGCGCGACCATGTCGCAACTAGTTTGCGAAAACTTCGGTATCGAGAATTTCGATACTGAGTTTCGTGTTTGAAATATGTTTAGGGTGTAATTTGTTTATCTGCACACCGGTTTATACTCTACCAGTCCAACCGTCGGCATGACGGATTGTTTCAAGCACAATGGCAACCGGAATCTGGAAACGCGGAACAGTTTAGGTACCACTAGGAAACAAAGATTTGTCGGAATATTCGATCGCGACATAGTGCTTTTACTAGTTTCGTAATAGCTGGAAATCCAATAGGAGACTGTTTTATATGAACTCGAACATGGCCACATTCCCGTGTTGTGGAATCATATCGAAAATCAAGTGTAGCGTTTTTTTTTCTATTGCGCGCCAATAGTGATCCACGTGGCAAAGCCACTTTCGTCTCTGCGGGAGGGGTGTGGCTCAGAGTTACGCAAGTATGGAGGAGCCAATCGGGTTCTCTGACATGGGCGGGAAGAACAGCAGATCTGGGGCGTGGCGACCAGATCTAGAGAAATTGTGGCGGGAATAGAGGATGCAGTCAGAGATTGTGGAGCTCGTGCCCCTCTGGCTGAGCCCCAAAATGCTTCAAAAGGGCTCAGATGGATGCCATTTTCTTGATTGCTTCTTGAAGGTTCAACACATTTTTCTTGAGTTCATCAGCCATGCATGCTTTCTTACCTACAACCCAACATGGCATGATAGATTGCGTCGTTCCGAAATGCACACATACGCACTTGTCAAAGTATATGCATGTTATATATGTGTAGGCTGTAGTGGGGTAGCCAATATGGGGTACAACCCCTTTTAGGGTTTCATGCTTGTACCCAACTCTTTCATAGTTCATCCATTCCTGTCTCTTGATTCTGACATGGTTTCAGAGCAGTAGGTCCGTAGGACCGTTTTTTTTTTCGGGCCCACCTACCGCTACCCCACGACTGTGACTGTGACTGACTGTGCTTGTGACGTGCTGCGCTGCGCGCGCCGTCTGCCTGCTGCCTACTGTCTGCTGACTGTGCGATCTGCTGCTGCTTAGAGCGCGCAGACCTAATTCCTGCGCGCGGCTCGTTTTTTGCCCACCGCGTCGCCCACCCTGCCCGAGTCGCGCCTCGGCAGCCCGCGCGCGGCTCGCTGCTGCTTCGCGCGCTGCGTCTGCAGCCCGCGCGGCGCGTTGCGGCCCCGCGCGTCGCAACAGCTGCCCGCGCGTCGCGCTGCAGCCCCGCGCGCCGCGACCGCTGCCCGCGCGTCGCGCTGCAGCCCCGCGCGCCGCGACCCACCTGCTTCTGCCGCGGCCGCGCCCTGCCGCCGACACGGCCCCGCCCGGACGCTGACGCGGCCCCGCCAGCCCTGCAGCTGACGCGACCCCGACCTGCCGCTGACGCGGCCCCGCCCTGCAGCGGACACGGCCCCGACCTGCCGCTGCCGCGGCCTCGCCCTGCAGCTGACGCGGCCCCGCCCTGCAGCTGCCGCGGCCCTACTCTACAGCTGTTGCTGCGGCCCCGCCGTCGCCGCCGTCGTGCGCCTCCCCTGCCGCCGCCCGCCGAGAGCCGGCCCTGCCCGCCACTGGTGAGCACCTGCCTTGTTCGTGCACTACAGCGCCCTCTGCCTGCCTGTCTACCTGCCTGCCTGCCTGCCACTCCTATTGCGCCTGCCCTGCCCGAGCTGCTGCTGCTACTGTTGCTACTGGCGGTGGCCAGATGCAGCTCCAGCGACGCCCGCGCGAGTCTCTCACGCCTCAGCAGCTTCGTGAGTGGTACGCTAGTTGGGGTTGTGGCGGTAGCCGTCGTGACTGTCGCCCTGGAGCTGGTCGGTCGGGAGCGTCTGGCAGTGGCCAGCTGCAGCTGCAGCGGCGTCCGCGCGAGACACTTTCGTCCCGGCAGCTTCACGAGTGGTACGCTCGGAGTAGAGGGTCTTTGAGTACCGTTCGCTGCCCGTACGTCCCACGCACAGGTGATCGGTCTGGTCAGGCTTGCGGGACACTTGGTCACACACAGTCCCGCTGCTTCGCCCGTCTGAGCGACGCCTGGCGCACAGAGTTTGGTGACGAGGCTGAGCTCCCCACCTGGCTGGAGCTGCTTGGGCAGGGGGTAGATATCTTTGCTCTTGACTATGATGCTATTCTCACTGCCATGTATGCATTCCCTACTAGTGATGACCGTGCCTGTTCCCTGTACGTACCGCCTGACCCAGGTATAGAGGCTGCTGCTCTAGGTGCTAGTGCGTCTCCTGCGCTAGGTGCTGGTGAGGCTGCTGCTCTAGGTGCTCGTGCGTCTCCTGCTGTAGGTGCTGGTAAGTCTGCTCTCTCTGGTACTGCGCCTACTGAGGCCGTGTACACCTTCACACTTGACTCAGGTGCTTCCCGCTCCTTCTTTCGCGACAGCACCACACTCACGCCGCTCCGTCGGCCAGTTGCAGTCTCACTGGCAGACCCCTCTGGGGGTCCAGTCCTTGCGCACTCCTCCACGGTCTTGCCGTGTCCGGCGGTCCCGTCTGGCTCCCTGTCAGGTCTTCACATCCCCTCGTTCTCTACGAACTTGGTGAGTGGTGCTGACATACAGGATGTGTGGGTTGACCAGTTCACCCCTGGAGGTCAGTGTGTGACCCACTGTACGTGCTCCCGGACTGGTCGGCACCTGGCCACGTTCACCCGAGAGCCTGGCTCGAGTCTGTACACACTGACCACTGTGTCCCCTCAGGTAGCTGCGCCTGCGTCTGCGTTTGCGTCAGGTCAGCTAGCGGCCCCCTGTTCGTGTCGCGCTTTGTCGCACCAGACCGTCCTGTGGCACCACCGCCTTGGTCACCCCTCGGTGCAGCGCCTTCGTCGCATGCACAGCCGTTTCCTTGTCTCTGGACTTCCAGAGACCCTGCCTCCTCTACCGCCCTCGCCTGCTCCTCCCTGTCTTCCCTGTGTCGAGGGGCGGCAGCGCGCCGCTCCTCACTCCTCCTCGTTCCCTCCCACAGAGGCTCCCTTGCAGACTCTCCACCTGGACGTGTGGGGCCCAGCCCGCGTCCGTGGATAGGGTCACGAGCGGTACTTCCTGCTGGTCGTCGACGACTACACACGTTACACCACGGTCTTCCCCTTGCGCAGCAAGGGGGAGGTCCCTGATGTTTTGATCCCCTGGATCCGCGCTACTCGTCTCCAGCTCCGCGAGCGGTTCCAGTCGGACTTTCCTGTCCTGCGTCTGCACTCTGACAGAGGTGGTGAGTTCTCCTCAGACCTCTTGGCAGCCTACTGTGCGGAGCACGGCATCCGCCAGTCGTTCACGCTTCCGGCCTCTCCGCAGCAGAATGGGGTTCCTGAGCGCCGCATTGGCTTAGTCATGGAGGTCGCTCGTACCTCCATGATCCATGCGGCTGCCCCCCATTTTCTGTGGCCGTTTGCGGTCCGGTACGCCGCGCATCAGCTCAACCTCTGGCCCCGTGTCTCCTTGCCGGAGACCTCGCCCACACTGCTGTGGACGGGGAAGGTTGGCGATGCGTCGCGTTTCCGGGTATGGGGTGCTCGTGCCTTTGTCCGCGAAACCACCGCGGACAAGCTCTCCGCTCGCGCTGTTCCCTGTGTCTTCCTTGGCTTTGTCCCTGACGCGCCTGGTTGGCAGTTTTACCACCCCACCTCGCGCCGTGTCTTCCCCTCTCAGGACGTCACGTTCGACGAGTCGGTTCCCTTTTACCGTCTCTTCCCCTACTGCACTGCCCCTCTCCCCCCCCCCGCCGCTCTTCCTCGCTCCAGGTGCTCCCCAGGTAGACCCCCTCCCCGCTCCCGGTCCTGCTCCTTCAGGTGTGTCTCAGGTAGACCCTCCTCCTCAGGTTGAGGTCACTGGTGACTCAGGTCCTGCTGAGGGTGGTCTTGCTCGGGGTGCTGCTGCTGGGGGTGCTGAGCCTGGGGGTGCGGAGCCTGGGGGTGCTGAGCCTGGGGGTGCTGAGCCTGGGGGTGCTGAGTCTGGGGGTGCTGAGCCTGGGGGTGTGGAGCCTGGAGGTGCAGAGCCTGGGGGTGCGGAGACTGGAGGTACTGAGCCTGGGTGTGAGGAGTCTGGGGGTGCTGAGCCTGGGGGCGCTGAGGCGTCTGGTGAGCAGTCTCCCTGGAGCGGCCGTCTCCGTAGTCGCTCCGCTGGTGCCTCGCCGATGCACTCTAGTCGTCGACTCCCTCTCTCCCCACAGCAGCTGCTTGAGTGGTACGCTGGCCGTCAGGGTCGCGCTGCTGGAGCTAGGGGCCCTGCTGTGGGAGGCGCTGGAGCTGGTGACTCTGCCACTGGAGTTGTCTCTACTGGAGGTTCTGGAGCTGCTGAGGGTGTTGGAGCTGGAGGTGCTGGCGCTGGTGGCGCTGGAGCTGGAGGTTCTGGAGCTGTTGCGGGTGCGAGCGCTGGAGGTTCTAGAGCTGCTGGAGGTGCTGGCGCTAGTGGTGCTGGAGCTGGAGGTTCTGGAGCTGCTGAGGGTGCTGGCGCTGGTGGCGCTGGAGCTGGAGGTTCTGGAGCTGCTGAGGGTGCTGGCGCTGGAGGTTCTGGAGCTCCTGCGGGTGCTGGCGCTGAGGGTTCTGAGTCTGCTGTTGCGCGGTTTCCTTGGAGTAGCCGCCTTTGTCCGCGTGTGCCTCTCACCTCGCAGCAGCTGCACGACTGGTACGGTCGCCGTCAGGGTCGCGCTTCTGGAGCTCGGGGCTCTGCCGCTGGAGGTGCTTCTACTGCCGTCACTGGAGCTGGGAGTGGTGCTGGTCCCGGAGGTGCTCGTACTGGAGGTACTGGAGCTGCTGGGGCTGGAGGTGCTGAGCCTGAGGGTGTTGCTGCTGGAGGCACTGAGGCTGGAGACCCTGGGACTGGGGGTACCGGTTCTGGGGGTGCTGCTGTTGGTGGAGCTGGTCCAGGAGGAGCTGGCGCTGAGGGTTCTGGAGCTGCTGGAGGTGCTGAGCCTGAGGGTGCTGCTGCTGGAGGCACTGAGGCTGGAGACCCTGGGACTGGAGGTGCCGGTTCTGGGGGTGCTCCTGTTGGTGGAGCTGGTCCTGGAGGAGCTGGCGCTGAGGGTTCAGGGACTGCTGGAGGTGCTGGAGCTGCTGGGGGTACTGGAGCTGCTGGTGCTGGTGTCAGTGCACAGCCGCGCCTGTTCTTCGCTCCACCGTCTCCGACGTCTCAGCCACCGCCTGACTCTGTGCTTCGCCAGGTTCTTAGTCTCCCTTCGTCTACTGGTCTTCCGTTACAGCCTGGCTCACCGCTGCCTGCTCCTTCTCCTTACACTGAGCAGCTAGGGGGTCTTACTGAGCGTCGTGAGCCTGCGTCGCGTCCTGTCTCGCCTGTCTGTTCTGGTCGTTCCGGTCGTCGTGTTCCTCGTCCGCGTCTGCCGGCTGTCCCCGACACCCACCTCGTAGTCCGTCGTCCTTCCTCTCCTCCGCAGCGTGTTCCTCTGCCGTCCCCTCCTGCGTCTTCTCTGCCTGTCGTTGCGGACCCCGAGTCTGACCAGTTTCGTGCTGAGCACCCTACTGTCACGCGTCTGCTAGCCACAGTTGTCACTGACCCGTCGTTTGAGTCTGCTGCTACGTCTGCCTTAGTTGCTGAGCTTGTTGACTTTGCTGCTGCCTGTCGTCTAGACTACGCCGCTAGTCTTGTTGCTGAGTCTGAGTCTGTCTGTCCTCCGTCCGTCGGGGGTGAGTGTGCTCTTGGCACGGACGTCCTTGAGGACAGGCAAGAGGACCTTGAGTGTCTTGCAGCCGCTGCGCCTCATCTCGTGTCCATGCTGCTTGCCCCTGAGGGAGACTCGGATGCTCCAGACATCCCGACCCCGCGCTCTTACGCTGAGGCGATCGCGGGTGAGTACTCCTCTCAGTGGCAGACAGCCATGGACGCAGAGTGTTATGGGGAACATCGGGGGAAACGCTGGGCCGATTGCCGACCCAGTGCATTCCGCGGGTCGGGATCCCAAAGTCGGAGCCGGTGCAGCGGGAGACGAGTGTCTGCCGCTGATGCTTGCGGGCGGTGGTGAGCCAGTGCGTCACGAAAAGCGCTCTGTTCCTCAGGGTGCTGAGGGCGAGGCTTCCAACCGAGCGAAGAAGGTGAAGAGTGCTGCTGGTATCACTACTGCTGGCCCGAAAGAGGCCGCTCCACCGGTTATTGCTTCGAAGGACGCTGTTGTTGCTTTTGGAAGGCTGGCGATTGCGGCGGCGGGCACGAATGAGGGCGCGGATGAATCCGTTGGCGACGAGGAGGCCGAGGCGAGGGATGCGCGGAGGAAGTACCTTGCGGCGCGGGCAGCGGCGAAAGGTGCTGGTCGTGGGGCTGAGGGGGGGGCCTCTAAGAGTGCCGAGATAATTCAGACGCCGATGGTCGGTGTCCGTGTTATTCCGGGCCAAAAAAACCCCTTCGCGGTTGAGCTTCATCATGGTGGCGAGCGCTTCTATCTCGGCACGTTTCCGCGGGCAGGCCCCGCGCGCTATCTGTCCGCGGTGGCACAGACCGTGTGGCACGATTGCGTGCAGAAGTCTGAGTTGGTGCTCACGGATCAGGAGGAGGAGGAATGGACACTCGATCTCGATCTCGCCCGAAAGATGACCGCGGGGCTTTACGCTGTTATTTTCATCAGGAAACTGACCGCGAATCACAAGAGGTACGACGGTTGTTTTCACCGTTTTTTTCAACCGTGGGTCGTAACACTCTTGAGTGGATTTTCGCGCAGGATGTTGAACATTTTCAAGACAACTCGCGGATTCTTGGACTCGAAGGTGAAGCCCACGGTCGAGTCCGCGATTTGTGTAGCAATTGGCCTTGAAGCCGCGGATGACGAAACGGGGGTGAAAGGGAAAGCATAGAAGGCGCTATACGCGGGCGCGCTGGCGTTCGGATGTGCAGCCATGTGGAGCTTTACTTCGGCTTACACTCGCGGGAACACGACGGGTGGTACGAAAACGGCCTTCGAAGGGGTTACCGCGGAGCATCGTTCTGCTGCGATCCAAAGTGCCTCGGCCGCTGCAAAGCTGTGTGGCGCGATCGCGGAAGATTTGTCTTGTTTGAAAGCTTGCTGGGCAGACGTGTACGCGACAATCCGGAAACATCAAGGTGCTCAGATGCTGTCCTCGGCTTCCGTTGAGAAGAGTGTGCTGAGTGTTTACGCGGATGGGGATGACAAGACAGTCCACGTTAGCGTGCCCCTGATGGTCGAAGTCGTTGCCAATTGGAACTACGATGGATCTGCGTGGCCATCCTCGAAAGGCGTGGGCCTTTACCTCGACTGCGAGAAAGCCCGCCAGGCCGCGAAAAAGAGGGGGACGCGTGGCAAAGGAAAGAAATGGGACGCGGCCGAGAAGGTTGTGAGGAAGGGCGAGGAGGCAGAGCACGATGACGAGGACGACGACGAAAACGACACGATTATGTTGGGCGGATCCGAGAGCAACGAGGAGTTGGCCTGAGAATCTCGTTGTACTGGCAGCGGTTGTTAGATGTTTGTGTTGCTGAGTTTTTTTATCCTGTTAGTTGCTGCTGCTCATGCTAGTGTGTGTTCGCGTTCCCTCCTGCACTCGCCTCCCCTCCCGCATTCGCGTTCCCTTCTGCAGTCGCCTTCCGTTTCTGCCCCCGTGAGCCTTGGGCAAAGTTGAGCAAACCCCCTTGAAACGCTTTGATTCCTGCCGCTGCCAAGTAGCACTCGCTCCAGTACACCACCACCCGAGCAACCACTTTCGCCAGGCTAACAACCTCCGGGTCATCCGAGGGTTCGGGATCCAGGATGCCGACAATCACTTCGGTAATAACCCCTTCCCATTCGTTCCGACCATGCACGCAGTCCCTTACTCGAAGCAGAGCGTTGATTCCGACGCGAGAAATCATCGCTGCTTGACTGGCAAGGGTTGGAGGGGCCAGTGTCCCACGGGCTGCCGCAGCTGCACCCTCCGCCCAGTCTTGTATCGGAATGCCGGTCGAAGCTGCCCACAGGGTGTAGAGAGATGCTGCAACCCCCGCTGCATAGACCGCTGTCTTTACACCAGTTGGGGGGGACTCCGCAGCAGTGCTGCCATGGACGAGGGCCTGTCCAATCCCCACGCAAACCGCGATCTCCCAATGCTCTCCGCGGTCCACGCATGCCCGAATTTTCTCCGTGACATTTTTGAAGATGCGAAAGTGGGGTGGAAAGGATAACATTAGCGTTAACATTAGTGGCAAAGTCGAACCAATAACACGTAAATCGAGAAAACTCACTCTTCGAACTTGTCCAGATCCATTTTGTTGAGTACGCTCCACACCCCTGTCGGCAATTCACGCGCGAGTTCGAGGTAGGGATCCCATGTCCCAACTTCTACGGCATCCATCCCGTAGTGAAGCATGTAGGTGTTCGGATAGTACGCCATCCAGCAGATGGCTACGGTGAAGTCACGGCGCCATTTCTCCTTATAACTCCCCATGTTTCTCTTCTTCCCCCCTACTGTTTGCTCCGACGAGTATCTCACCTCCACCGTCCCATCCTTCCGCACCCGCGAGCGTTCAAATAGCCCACTTTTTTTGAAGTGCTTGGTAACCCCCCACATTTTGCCCAGTGCGTCGGGTATCGCATCCTTTTCCGCTACATCTTCCACCGCTTCTCCCAACACCGCTTTAGGATTCTCCTGCCCTGCCTCAACTTTGTCCTCTGACGCTGCAGCATTTTCAGAGTCCGCCTCTGCATTGACGTTGTGCGCTGCGAGGTTTCTTTGAGCGCGGTTGAGACTCTGAATCAGCCTGGACTGTCAGATCTAATGACTCCACATCTCCCGCCAGATCCACAAGTTCTAGAGGCTGCTGTCTGGGGTCCGCCGGAACCACGTGAAGAATCCCGGCCGTCGGAACCACGCTAAGAATCGCGTCCCCTCCCTGCCCCTGCCCTGCTACTCCCTCCACATCTGTGGCCGCAATCTGTTGCCTCTCCTTTTCCATCTTCTCCTTCTGGGCCTCCAACTCCTCCTGTTGCCTCTCCATTTCCTCCTTTGCAGCTTCCTCTAACTTTCGAAGTTTCTCCATCTGTGCCTGCATCCTCTCACGCTCTGACTGGAGCTCCATTTGCCACTTCAGCGCCTCCGCCCGCTTCTCTTCAGCAACCTTCAATGCCTTTGCCTGCTCCTCCCGCAGCCTCTTATCTTCCTCCGCCTTTTTCCGTTTTTCCTCCGCCGCTCTCTTGGCCCGCTCTGCCTCCTTCGCCTGCTCCTCCCGAACCCTCTTCTCGTCCTCCGCCTTGCGTTTTTCCTCCGCCGCTCTCTTGGCCCGCTCTGCCTCCTTCGCCTGCTCCTCCCGCACCCGCCTTGCGTTTTTCTGCCGCCGCTCTCTTGGCCCGCTCTGCCTCCTTCGCCTGCTCCTCCCGCACCCTCTTCGCGTCCTCCCCCTCGCGTTTTTCCGTCGCCGCTCTCTTGGCCCGCTCTGCCTCCTTCGCCTTCTCCTCCCGCACCCTTTTCGCGTCCTCCCCCTCGCGTTTTTCCGCCGCCGCTCTCTTGGCCCGCTCTGCCTCCTTCGCCTGCTCCTCCCGCACCCTTTTCGCGTCCTCCGCCTTGCGTTTTTCCGCCGCCGCTCTCTTGGCCCGCTCTGCCTCCTTCGCCTGCTCCTCCTGCACCCTTTTCGCGTCCTCCGCCTTGCGTTTTTCCGCCGCCGCTCTCTTGGCCCGCTCTGCCTCCTTCGCCTGCTCCTCACGCACCCTCTTCTCTTCGTCCGCCTTGCGTTTTTCCTGCGCCGCTCGCTCGGCCCGCTCCGCCTCCTTCGCCTGCTCATCCTCTTTCCGCCTCTTTTCGAACGCAGCTGCGCGCTCTTCCCGCGTCCCACTTGGCTCTGCGGCAGTATCCGCCGCTCGGTTTTCAGCCGCTCTTTCGCTGCTACCAACAATCCCAGCCCGCGTCTACTCTGCAGCGGTCGCATGCGCCCTCTGAATTGCAGTCCGCTTCCGAACCTCGGCCGCCTTTTTCTCCGCACTCTCCTTCTCCTTTTCTCTCTGCAACTCCTTCGCGGCCAACGACGCTCTTCAGTTTGTACTCACTGGACCAGACAAGTCGAGATCCGCCACACCAGCGCACGCCTCACCCTCCTCATTCGCCTCACCGTCAGAGGTTACGGCAAACCTTTCCATGACTTCTTGTGCCGCTGAGATAGGGATATCCGGAGAATCTGACTCGAGCAGCGCTCGCGAAATTCGAGGTGTGACCTCTGCCCTGGTAGCAGGTGGAATCTCGACCCGGTTAGGTCCGGTAGGCCTTTTCAGTTTAGCTCCCAATCCTGCCAGAGCTTTCTGAATGGCCTTGAAGGTCTGTTTGTTTGCGTCGTCCGAAGTTTTGAGATCCACCCACACCGTGTAAACACTATCTTCGAATGCCTTTTCTAGGTGATTCACGGACTCGGGCGCCATAGTGGCTTCCAGGTTCCCCCCTTTCGACGCTGCCTCCATCGCCTGCTCCACCACACCCCTGAGCCTCTCCGCAACCGTGTCGAAAAACCCCGCAAACTTTTCCTCCAATGTTCCCACAACCGCAGCAGCAGCTGCTCGACCTGCATCAGCTGCTGCCGCTCGTGCATCGGCTGTTGCAGTCGAAAGAGCAGTACGCAATTGGACGAGCTCGTCGCGCTCCCGGGCCACTGAATCCTTTAGCACGTGGTACTCGTGCGTTAGATCATCGTAGTCCTGCAAGTAGCGCAAGTCCCATCCCTGCATCTGCGAACCAAACTGGCGAATCTCGGCCATGCAGTCGCTGAAGCGAACAGTTTGCTCGGACGAAATCCTGGCCACGTTCCTCGCCACCACCGTCAGACGCCGCATTAACTCTGGCGTAGTATGCACCCCGCCGCCCGCTGCGATGCGGTCACCGGCCTCCTCAAATCCTCCTTCCGTCTCCTCGAAAACCTGGGGCCCCGCATTCTCCAGTCCCTGCAGTTGCGTCTCCACAGCCACCCATTCACCCTCCTCTAATTCCTCTGCCTGCACCGCAGCAGGATTCACTGCCGCACATGGATGGCGCCTCTGCATAGGGAGCGCACTCGCCGCACTCTCCAGCGCCTCCTCCACCCGTCCTCCCGCCTGCCTAGCCTGATTCTCCCTTTGTCGCGCTGCCCCTACTCCCCATCCCACCCCACGCCAGACCTGCTCCTCCGCCATTCTCTCACCCTGTAGCGTACGACGTGCGTCACCCTCTCGCAACCCAGCTTGTCTTGACTGCTCGACCATCCTACGGTCCTCCTCGCCAACCCTTTTCCGAGCAGTTTGATCATCACGCCGGCCACCTTCCCGCTGCATCACCAGTCTCGGTCAGCCAGTTCCCAACCCCTCTAAACCAACCTCCGCTGCCCGACGAACCGTCGTCCCTTGCTGCGCCTCGGTTGGCTGGTCGCCAACCACCACTTGTCGAGCTCCTTCCCCTGCGCCCCGCCCTGCTTGCGTTTGAAAGACCTTCGCGCCCCTCTGGCCCTGGCTCGTGTGACGAGTTCCATCCCCACGCCGCTGCCCTCCTGCACCTTGTTCACCCAACCCAGCAACCTCTCTCTGCCTTTCGTTCCTCTGCGGAGCGCCCCCCATTTCACGTCGCTGATGCTCCTCCCGTCGATCCCTCTGGCGTTCCGAACTGTGATGCTCACCGACTTCCTCCATCTGTCCGCCAGTTCCCAACCCCTCTAAACCCACCTCCGCTGCCCGACGAACCGTCGTCCCCTGCTGCGCCTCGGCTGGATGGTCGCCAACCACCACTTGTCGAGCTCCTTCCCCTGCGCCCCGCCCTGCTTGCGTTTGAAAGACCCTCGCGCCCCTCTGGCCCTGGCTCGTGTGATGAGTTCCATCCCCACGCCGCTGCCCTCCTGCACCTTGTTCACCCAACCCAGCAACTTCTCTCTGCCGTTCGTTCCTATGCGGAGCGCCCCCCATTTCTCGCCGCTCATGCTCTTCCCGTCGATCCCTCTGGCGCTCCGGACCGTGCTGCTCACCGTCTTCCTCCATCTGTCTTGCCACTTGCTTTTCGCGCTCGAGCCTTTGCAGCTCATTCCTTCGGCGTTCGCTTTCGGTTCTCTTCCGTTCCCGTTCCTGCTTCTGACGCGCCTCCTCTCTTTCGCGGCCCACCCGCCTCCCATCCTCTAGCCTCCTCTTCCTCTCTTCCTCCTGCCGCTTATCCCTTTCGCGCGCCTCTCGCTCCTCGGACTCCAGCCTCTTCCGCTCCCGCTCCTCCTTCTCCCTCGCCTCCTTTTCGCGCGCCTCTCGCTCCTCAGACTCCTGCCTCCTCCGCTCCCGCTCCTCCTTCTCCCTCGCCTCCTTTTCGCGCGCCTCTCGTCCCTCGGACTCCAGCCTCCTCCGCTCCCGCTCCTTCTCCCTCGCCTCCTTTTCGCGCGCCTCTCGTCCCTCGGACTCCAGCCTCCTCCGCTCCCGCTCCTCCTTCTCCCCCGCCTCCTTTTCGCGCGCCTCTCGTCCCTCGGACTCCAGCCTCCTCCGCTCCCGCTCCTCCTTCTCCCCCGCCTCCTTTTCGCGCGCCTCTCGTCCCTCGGACTCCAGCCTCCTCCGCTCCCGCTCCTCCTTCTCCCTCGCCTCCTTTTCGCGCGCCTCTCGCTCCTCGGACTCCAGCCTCCTCCGCTCCCGCTCCTCCTTCTCCCTCGCCTCCTTTTCGCGCGCCTCTCGCACTCCTGCCTCCTCCGCTCCCGCTCCTCCTTCTCCCTCGCCTCCTTTTCGCGCGCCTCTCGTTCCTCGGACTCCAGCCTCTTCCGCTCCCGCTCCTCCTTCTCCCTCGCCTCCTTTTCGCGCGCCTCTCGCTCCTCAGATTCTTGCCTCCTCCGCTCCCGCTCCTCCTTCTCCCTCGCCTCCTTTTCGCGCGCCTCTCGCTCCTCGGACTCCAGCCTCTTCCGCTCCCGCTCCTCCTTCTCCCTCGCCTCCTTTTCGCGCGCCTCTCGCTCCTCGGACTCCTGCCTCCTCCGCTCCCGCTCCTCCTTCTGCCGCTTCTCCTCGGTTTCGCGCTCCACCTTCCTATCCTCCTCCCTTTTCCTCTCGTCCTCCTTCCTCTGCCGCATCTCCTCCTTTTCGCGCTCAACACGCCTCTGTTCCTCTAGCCTCTCATTTTCCTCGCTCTGTCGCGCCTCCTCTTTTTCGCGCGCAACCCGCCTGTCCTCCTCCCTCTTCCCCTCTTCGTCCTCGAGCCTCATACGCTTCTGTTCCTCCCTCTGATTCGCCTCCTCCTCCTCGCGTGCTTCCCCAACCTGATCATACATCTTCTTTGTTCGTGCCTCCCGCCTCTGATAAACCACCGTATTGTCGCGTTCCGCCATCTGCACCTCTTCCTCCAAGCCTCCAACGACATTCAGACTCCCCTGCCTCATTTCCAAACCCTGCCCCTCCTCATGTTCATCATTCTCGACCCGAAGGTGCACTGCCTGTAAAGCCCCTACAAGCTCCTCCTCCATCCTCGCCCCCTCCTCCCTCTGCTGTATGGTCTCCGATCCGCAACGCTGGGTTTCCTCTTGTGGGGCCCTCTGCTGCGTCTCCCTCATTCCACGCAGGATTTCACGCGCATTCTCCCTTGGAACAGGTGGCTCCCCATCCGTGTCGCTCTGACGCGCATTGACCAGATCGATTCGTGCGCCGTCAGCAACCAGGGCCCCCAACGCGACTATTTCCGCGTCAATCACGGGCGGGGCACCTGTGTATTCAGCGACCGGCCCATGTTGCTCCAAGTTGTCCAACTCCTCCCCCTCACCCGCATCATCACCACCCACTTCTTTGTCGAAATACTTACCAAAGGTGGTGAGGAAATTCTTAAGAATGTCATCACGACGGTATTGTGGGGTTCCTAGCACGAGGAATTTCTCCTCTCTCTTCCGCTGCTGGAGAATCGCCTCGAAATGATCGAGCATCTTACACCACTGGTATGCCACGTGAAGACCAGAACCAACCTCCCTCTGGCCGAGTGATTGAGTTAGCTTCTGCACAAAACGGAAGTGGAAACGTGTTAACATGTATCTATTTTCGAGTAACAAAATTGACTTATTCGCCCAGTGAACTCACTGCAGTTTTGTCGAGCTTCCAGCCGCTAATGATGCGGTTTTGAATGTCGCGATACGTTTCCTCCGCCTCCCCGGTCAATTTCGCTTCCCCTCAAGAGCTGCTCCTCGAGCCAACTGCTCATCAGGTGTGGTTTCGACGAATTCTGTTAGCGTCGATCCAATCAGCAACAGGCACAGATGCTAATCAAATTACGGATACTCACTCGACAATTTTATCTGCGAGAAATGTGTGCTTGTGTGTCGGACTAGTTGCCTTGGGGTCGAAATGCAGAAGTCGCGTATGAACCGGAAATTTCGGGTCTACCACCAGACTGTCGGGGCGTACAAGCGTGAAGAGGCTACAGCGCGCTCCAGGCTCGGCAGTGATTCTGCATGGGGTAGTGTGGCGAATGGTTAGACATCACGTAGAAGTCATTACTCTCGAAAACCTAATACACATCTCGAGGAAACACAACCTACAAAGTAAGCAGCACAATTCGAGCTCACCGCGACCAGAGCGGGAAGATGCAGAGTTGCTTGCCTAGGAGACCACTGAGTCTGCTAGGACCGATCATGGGTTTCAGAGGGACTTTCGCCCTGGCCTCGTTGACCTTACTCATGGGGACGATGAGGACCTTCGAAAGCTGCTCCGCGGCCAGCCTCTCCTTTGCAAGCACCCTGCGATAAATGTAGAGACAGAAAACGCTTGTAAAATGGTTTTGAGAGGCGATCGCTACAACTCACGGTCCCGGTAGAGGAACAGAAACTCGAAAGTAGATGAATCTCGTAGAGCACAAATAAAGGCTTCCTCTGCCGATCGCTACAAACATGTTGACGGTCGCGGAAATATTTTCTCGAAATCCAACACAGCTAATAGAGCACCGAGCATGTCACAAGAATAGACCTCGAAACTTGATACTTCGTTTAGAGGGCAATCTAGCTCGACCACAAACATCCCTATTAGAGCGCGAATCCTTCTAGCGCAACTTACACCAACACGAAATTGAGCATGTTCTCGGACCACTCCCCAGTTTTTTGGCGCATGCTTTCGAACTCTAACCGCGACAGGCGCACAAGCAAGCCAGCCCCCTCGATTTCAATCGAAGGCTCCATCGACTAAGGGAAGAAAGCAGAGTAGCTGCAATGAAGAGAAGAAGCGGAAGAAAAGTGATAGAGATGTTGCAAAATGAGAAAATGACCTACGTTCGACTTTTATACCCGCCCCCCTCTCACATGAGCCCTACTTTCAGGACGTGTTCAAGACACGGTTGTGGCGAATATTACGGGGACTTTTGAAAGGCAGTCCCAGAATTTTAGCATGAAACCCGTTGGAAATCTTGCTCTAAAAGCCAGACGAGAGGGGACCCATGCAATGTTGTACTGGACTATAAATTTCTGTCAGCTACATCTATCGACCAATCAACATCCACGCCGCGAAAATTTCGATAGATTCTCCTCTGAGCCGCCACGTGGTTGTCTATCAATTGCGCTTCGAATGCATGCAAATGTGGTCGAAATCTGAAATTGCTCGGTTCCTCTGCATTTACTTCCCCTGAACAACGCGAAATTGTGCTACTCAGTTCGTTGCATGTGGGCCGTCAAAAATGTGCCTCGTATGCGCCGAAATATATCAACCGGAAACCTGGCAAATACACGAGCTCATCCTATCCACTCTCGAAAATCACCATCCCTTTTTTAGCGCTAGAAGAATAAACACCCAGCAAAATAATATGTACATCCAAAACAAACAAAACAGCAATCATAGCCACCAAATCACAAACACGTCCCACAAATCACACACACCAAAAGACAAAGACGGGAATCAAACCAAGTAGATGGCACTAGGTTTCAAAACAACAAAATACGTTCACATCATGCACGTGCCTTCCTGAAAATGACGTTGCATGTAATAGAGGCATATAATTTGACAACAATCAAAAGGTACAAACCCATGAAGCTACTAAGCATTATCACACCATATCAAGGAGTGTTAGGGGAGGCAATATGCAAAGCCACCTTAAGAAAACACAGCAAATAAATGCCCTACACTGACAAGCAATCAATCAACCATTTTCACCATTTTGTCAGAACACGCTCTTAACTCTTGACTTAGTAACTTAGGGTTTACCTAGGAAGCGTGAGTGTCGAGAGTGAGCATGGCAAGAGAATTGGGCAAAGAGTGACATTCACTAAGGAATGTTTACAAGATATAGGATAGGGGAGAGGATAGGGTACACCACCAGCAGTTGAACCTAATAACTAACTAATACACTAGCAAGCTGTAGGCAGTTAGGATATGCAATATAATTCAACACACCCCCGTAACTGCCTACGGCTATAGCTAGTGGTCTCTGGCACCAGGTCGCCTGGAGAGCGGTTGCTGTAGCTGGGATAGGCACAGAAACAGCGGTGGCTGACCGGCAGCACCTGTGAACGCCAGAACGGAGGAGGGCGCGGAGAGCGCGGAGGAGGGCTGGGATAGCCGGAGGGCGAAGGATGCTGGTCGCTCGCCATCTACGAGCAAACACAACTGTTGGTGAGGAGGAGGAAGCTGGTGGTGGTGCACAGGAGGAGAGCAGAGGAGAGGCGGCTGGAGGAGAGGAGAGAGGAGGAGGAGATGCGGCTGTAGGAGAGGAGATTGGAGGAGGAGATGCGGCTGGAGGAGAGGAGAGGAGAGAGGAGGAGGAGATGCGGCTGGAGGAGAAGAGGAGAGGAGAGGAGAGGAGAGGAGAGGAGAAGAGGAGGAGGAGAGGAGAGGAGAGGAGGTGGCTGGCGCGGCAGAAGCTCTCCCGCCACCCCCTCATCCCCCTCCCCCCCATGCGCTGGCGCTGGCGGAAGTGCTGGCGCTGGGCGCTGGCGTCGCGCTGGCGCTGGCGCCCGCCGTTGGCGCTGGCGCAGGCGCCCGCCGTCGGCGCTGGCGCTGGCGCCCGCCGTCGGCGCTGGCGTCCGCGCTGGCGCTGGCGACCGCCGTTGGCGCTGGCGCTGGCGCCCGCCGTTGGCGCTGGCGCTGGCGCCCGCCGTTGGCGCTTGCGCTGGCGCCCGCCGTCGCCTCGCTGGCACGCTCGCCACTGGCAGAGCGCGACGGGGCAGGCGAAAGGGGGCAGCGCGACGGGTGCTGCAGAAGCAGCGGATTTCGAGCCAGCAGCGGATTTCGCGCTACTAGCAGTAGCAGCCATGCCAGCAGCACAATAAGTCGTCATGGCAGATCGCGGGTTTGGTGGGCCCATGAAAACGAGGTCCTAGGAGGGACCACGCTCTGGTATCGTGTCAGAATCCGCTCTTAACTCTTGACTTAGTAACTTAGGGTTTACCTAGGAAGCGTGAGTGTCGAGAGTGAGCATGGCAAGAGAATTGGGCAAAGAGTGACATTCACTAAGGAATGTTTACAAGATATAGGATAGGGGAGAGGATAGGGTACACCACCAGTTGAACCTAATAACTAACTAATACACTAGCAAGCTGTAGGCAGTTAGGATATGCAATATAATTCAACACATTTTACCTTGTTCCACCTTTGGTTTGACATGTGAGAGGTGGTACACGAGCCATTCCAACCCTAACAAGGCTTTTAAACACAACAAAAAACAAACCAAAAAAACAAAAGTGTCTTTATGTTTGCCAGAGAATGACTTAGCAAGTACTACCGTACTTACATACTTGAGGTAGCTAACAATGACCAAAAGTACAAACATATGAGAACTTTCAACAATGATTGAAACTTGTAGAGGAGTACTAGGGGAGACAGAATATACAAAAATATTTTGGAAAACCCAACCACACAAGAATAAAACCCTCTTGAAACGATCATTTTAAGCTCTTCCTTTTAGCCATTTGCATGACTGTATATGCAAATCAACCACTGGAACAACACTCAATAGGAAGCTTAAGACATCCTTTATTCAATTAATAAAAAAAAACCCCACTCAAAACCACCTCATCATTACCAGATTTCACAAAAACATTATTACAATGAAACAAAAGTAAACAAAACAGTTATACAAACAAAGATAATATCAACTCTGTAAAACACTAGAGACTTTCGCGCAGCTGTCGTCAGCCGGTTGCGCCACACCGGTAAGTCGTCAGACTTCACTGCTAGCGATGTGGTTACCGCCAGCCCCGTCAACTGTTCACTCAGGGGATTTTTTTGGCGATCTGGTTACCCATCGCCAATCATCTATTTGGAAATAGGTAAGTCGCACAAAATGTAGGTCTAGGCAGGTCTAGAAAAAAAAATTCGCCGCGGGCAATTTCGATTTCGCCACAGGCAAAAAGGGGGAGTAGGTCTAGGCTTGTCCGAGGCCCCGAGCCGCGCCCACCGCCACCCCGTCCACATCTATTTCGGGTTCTATCGTGTTACAGGACCTCTTTATGTAAGGGGCCAATCGGCACATCTGACACATATCGAAGCCACCCACACGCGTATCTCCAAGTGGCAGCCAGATCGCCGTCGGACTTCAGGCTGCCTTCGTTACTCCCCCACACAACATTCGTCGAATGCACCGTCATCGTCATCATGTCGCCAGAAATTCACATTAGCGACAGCACACGGTGAGTAACGTGCGGTTAACGAAAAAGCGTGCGAGCTCGCGAAGGCCCGCGCGCGAGGAACCTGGGAGTTTCCCTCGCGATTTCACCCATTCCCAGGGTTTCCCTCCCCCGCCACACGTTAGCCTCCCCCTTTTCCCTCACTTTCCACGCCCCTCTCCCTTGGAGGGAAAACCTAGGTGGCAGGGGTAGCAAGTAACTATATTGTACTTTTTGCACGATTCAGGTTTCCATTATCTGACTTCCTTATTTTACAGCTCATGGTGTCTCTGATCGCTGCGCCGTATTTTGTTGCTTGAGCAGCATACGTGAACGGATAGTGTGTTAGCAGCCGTCGAATCCATTTGCGTCGTTTTTAGCGCTTGTTTCTGGGTTCTTCGCGAGGAGCGCATTTTTTCCGCTTCGTTCAGATCGTCGGATCCCAGTCCATGGCAGCACGCTAAATCAGGATACATTTTTAGGTTAGAACTTGCCGGTTTATTCCGCCGGAAGGACGGGAGTTTCCGCCCTACAAATGCTGCCCTAGACCTTCCTCGCAATGGCTAATCCCAATAGTAACCCTGCATTTATGGCGCCTAGGCCGTACATCCAGGGTGAGGGTATGGTCATGGACCATAGGGCGATGGGTATGGATCATAGGGGAATAAGTATGGACCATAGGGGTGTGAGTATAGACCACGGATCCGTAGCTCAGCCCTATCCTTCACAAGCTATGTCGGCTCACGGAATGGCAGCAGCACAAGGCATGGCACCTCAAGGCATGGCTCCACAAGGGATGGGGGCACCGCAAGGCATGTCGGCAGCACAAGGCATGTCAGCACCTCCACTTTCAGGCATTTCAACAGCGGGTGGTCTCTCAACACAAGGCATTTCGGGTCCAGGCATATCAGGCCCAGGAATGCCCGGCCCGGGGATGTCCGGACCAGTCATGTCAGGACAAGGCATTTCGGGACCAGGCATGTCCGGTTACTCGTACGGGAGTCAGCCGTACCAGGTTCCGTTCACGCACATGAGACCGGCATTTGCGGCGCCCGATGCGTACCACCAGTTTCAGGACCCGGGGGTGTACCAGGGAGGAGGGTACGCGGCGGGCCAGTACGGAAGGCAAGGGGAGGAGGAGTACCTGGTCGCGAAATTCTCCGTAAGTCCTTCGGATGACTTCTCAGGCGATTCAAACAGTGACGCGGGGCTGTATTCGGTAACGTACGGTTCGGGTCATTAGGTCAGGCAAGGGGAGGAGGAGTGGTCGCGAAATTCTCCCTAAGTCCTTCGAATGACTTCTCATGGGATTTCAAGTTTTTTTTAGTGGACTCAAGTTTTTCATGAGTTCTCTGAGTCGACCTGGAAGGACGGCGTGCCGGGTGTATCAAGTAGGGTCCGCGGCGGGTGAAATAGGCACACAAGGGGAGGAGAAGTTGCCTGCTGTGGTTTTCACTTTCGCCTTCCTTCGTTCCGACGGCATTTGTTCCGACGGCCTGCGTAGCTATTCTAGAAACCGCATTCACTTTCCTGATCTACCCCCCGGCCTCCTACGCGCAGTAGCGCGCCTAGAGCCTTGTTTCCTTCCTTGCCGTTCTGATCGCAACTTATTAGTTGATTCACGCGTTTGTGCGCGTTCGTGCGCCTTTGTGCCCATTCTTGATACTTCGTGCACATTCATGCGCATTCGTGTGTGTTCGTACGCTCACTAGAGCCCGCCCTTTCTCCCATCGTCTGTGCGTTGCGGGTGCTGTTTTAGGAGCACTCATTACGACAGAATGCGCCCGGGATGGCTCCCACTGTGCTCTCTGGCCAGGTACACCGCATTCTCCTCTCCTGCATCTCCTGCACTCTCAATATTGTCACGCCCGCTCGTCTCTCCTGCACTCTTGTGTTGTCACTCTCCACTCGTTTCCCCGGCTTCTCGTCATTGTCACCCACTCGCCTCTCGTGCTTTTTCGTCATTGTCACAAACACCCACTCGCCTCGCCCTTGCCTCCTTCGCCCTCCTCACTAAAGTCTTCCGCCTCACGTTTTTGCGTATTTTTTTTCGTCTCGTTCTTATTTCCTCTGGTGGTAAAACGTGTGCAGACAACGGGGGAGCCGTGGCCGAGGTTCAACAACGGAGAGGACCTGCTCACAGCACGAGGTCGCAAGATGGCGAGAGGAAAAGGTATGTTTCAACTGTGTGGTTGCGTTTAAGGTCTCTCAAAACGGATTTCAACAATGGAGAGGACCCACTCACAGCTCGAGGCCGCAAGATGGCTCGCGGGAAAGGTATGTTTCGACAGTGTGATTACGTTTGAGGTCTCTCACCAGTGAGAACCCGTGGATAAGATTTTGAGTTGACTACATCATCGTCTCTCTTCTCTTAGGATTTGTTATTCTTTCCTGCTTTGCCTTGTGGCAGGTGCCGCGTGGGAGCATGGGGAAGCGGGCATGGGGCTCAACTCGCCAGCAGGACCCATGGGACAGCCACAGCAGCAGTCAGCATGCCGCTACGACAACTCCCTTGGTACGAGGCTTGGCTTGTCTTTTCCGCATTGCTGTGTGGTGGTAGGTAGGTGCAGGGTGGGGGGATGGGGATGCAGGCATGGGGCTCAACTCACCGACGGGACCCATGGGTCAGCCGCAGCAGCAGTCAGCATGCCGCTACGACAACTCCCTTGGTAAGAGGCTTGCCTTGGCGTTTCTGCATTGCCGTGTGGTGGGAGGTAGGTGCAGGGTGGGGGGATGGGGATGAGGCAGGCATGGGGATCAACTCACCAGCAGGACCCATGGGTCAGCCGCAGCAGCAGTCAGCATGCCGCTACGATAACTCCCTTGGTATGAGGCTTGGCCTGACTTTCACATGCTGATGTGTCAGGTTGATTCGTTCAAAGAGGGGCTTGGCTTGGCTTGCCCTATACTCACTCTGAAGCTTTCGTTTACAGTGAAGCCCACACAAATCCGATCACTATCTGTGCAGTGCGTGTCTGTGTCAACTCCTTCATTCACTCTCTCACTGTTAACCTCCCCTCCCTCCCCCTCTGTTCCCCCTCCCCTCCCCCCTCCGCCCCCACCCTCCCCTCTTACCCCATCCTCTCGCCATCCCTTTCCCCCCTTTCAGGGCTTCTAACGAAGAAGTTTATTGACCTAATAAAGGGGTCAGATGACGGCACATTAGACCTGAACACTGCAGCATCAACCCTCCAGGTACACTTGGAACGTCATGTGAAGAGGTTATATGAACAGTGCGTCGAACAAAAAATACAAACAAACTGGCACTTACTAATGTGCTGCATGTGCAACACGTTGTTTCAACCTTGAGTTTCGTTCGTTGGTGGTGGTGGTGGTGGAGCTTCACATGTAATTCGTGAGTGACCTGACCCCTATGGTGCCTTGGTTGCTATTCCGGGCTGTTGCTTTAACCCCCTCAGGCTCAGAAGCGGAGGAGGAAATACACGACGTTGCAAAAATAATGTTCTCGAAGCCATTGGGCTGGTTGAGAATATTCTTAAGCTGTTGCCAAATATGTTTCTTCCCCTCAGGTCCAGAAGCGGCGAATATACGACATCACGAATGTTTTGGAAGGCATTGGGTTGATTGAGAAGAAAGGGAAGAACAACATTCAGTGGAAGTGAGTGACCTGCATGTAGTGTCATGGGAGTGTTTTGATGGATGTGCGTGTAGATGTATGCGTGTGTACCAATGACTGTGCTGGAGGGCATTGGGCTGATCGAGAAGAAAGGGAAGAACAACATTCAGTGGAAGTGAGTTTGTAGCATGCAGCACGAGGAAAGTGTTTCGATGGATGTGTGTATTGATGTATGTGCGTGTTGGAGTATCCTCATGTATGCGTGCATTAGAATGCATTTACAACTTATGCGCTGGTAATAATTTTCTAATTGCTCCTGTGCCTTTTCAGAGGCTTGGAGTGTGATTCGACCATCAAAGAAGACTCACAAATTCTACAGGTAGGCCCGGCTGCTGCCAATATGCATTTCGTGCTGACTGGGATTTAGCATTGGATTTTGGCTAAGATTTGGCTTTACACTGCGTCTTAACAAGGGCAGGAATAAAATGGTTTTCAAGTCCCCTGTGCTCCTCTTTTTCTCTCCCCTTGTTCAGGCGGAGTTGAATCGGCTAAGGGAGGAGGAGTTGAGTCTAGACAATGGCATCAAGTACGTGTAACGCGGGGCATGGCAGTGGGCGTGAGGTTTTTCCTGTTCTGAGAGTTTTTTGGGTGATCGGGAATTTTTTCACATGGACTTGAGTCTAGACAATGGCATCAAGTGCGTGTAACGTGGTGGGGGTATGTCAATTATCAATTATCAATAGTCTTGTTGAGGGGTGCCCGACTATCATCTTATGCCTCTTTGTTGTGTTGAGACTACTTGTTTTCTGTTATTCCCAACGTGTCTCAAACGCTGCTGCTGCAGTTGAGTTTCTGGGGTTGAGATTATGAGATTCCCAAAGTTTGAAAACCCGTCATCCGTGTTTCTTTATGAGGTTTTTAGTTGCTCACAAAACACGTCCATTCCTGTGTGTCTTGTGTTGATTCCAATCAGGGACATGAGGGAACGGTTACGGTTGTTGAATGAGGACGACAAGAGAAAACAGTAAGGCAGCCTCGCCCCGTCGCTGCTTGTTTGATGTTTTCACCAAGCTGCCTGCCTCTATGTCTTTCCATTTATGTTATCCTTCAAAATCACACAACCACTCTATCCTTTGCATCCATCTGGCTGTTTAAAGTCGATTTACCTCTCTGCCCTTGGTGTCCAACCTCTTTCTCGCTGTGTGTGTGTCCGCAGATGGATGTTTGTGACAGAAGAGGATATCAAGAACCTGCCTTGCTTGTTGTTTGTCTACTAGCCTCTACCACTACTCATCTCTGTGTGCCATCTCTTTCTCTCTGTGTGTGTGTGTCCGCAGATGGATGTTTGTGACAGAAGAGGATATCAAGAACCTGCCTTGCTTGTTGTTTGTCTACTAGCCTCTACCACTACTCATCTCTGTGTGCCATCTCTTTCTCTCTGTGTGTGTGTGTCCGCAGATGGATGTTTGTGACAGAAGAGGATATCAAGAACCTGCCTTGCTTGTTGTTTGTCTACTAGCCTCTACCACTACTCATCTCTGTGTGCCATCTCTTTCTCTCTGTGTGTGTGTGTCCGCAGATGGATGTTTGTGACAGAAGAGGATATCAAGAACCTGCCTTGCTTTCAGGTGAGTGTTCATGTCCTTGGGTTTCTTCTCAGGTGATTTTGCAGTTGCGCGTTCCCACTCATGTTTGTTCGCTTCCCGGAATATAATCTCTATGTATAAATAATCTGTATGTCTGACCTCTACCTTTCCATACCCGGTGTTCCTTTCCGTGTGCACAGAACGAAACCCTAATTGCCATCAGAGCCCCACACGGCACCATGCTCGAAGTACCAGACCCCGAAGAGGTGAGCTGCTGTTATCACCGCAAATAGCACCTGATAGTTCACTATGAGGCCTTTCAGCCCAGCCAGCCCATCCCTTCCTTGGTGTTTCGTGTTCACCACCATGCTCCAAATTATCAGAGCTTAGCGCAGCACAAGTACTGAATTTTAATTCGTTCCAAAAATCATAAGACATTCCTTCCTTTCACCTTGCCGTCCCTGTCAGGGCTTTGCACAGCGCAAGTACCAGATACTGCTGAAGAGCACCAGTGGGCCTATTGACGTCTACCTGGTCAGGTGCGTGCTTTTGTTGTTGTCTTCTGTGCAAACACTGCTTATCTCTCTCTTAGTGAACTAAGAGTGGGCCTTGGTTTTTTTTTTTTTTTTTTTTTTTTTTTTCCGGAATGACAAAATTTCAAAGGCTTCTGTGTGATATCTTGCCCGCCACTGGCCCACCATTGTTTGAAGGGAAGTACGATGGAGCAGCCCCGTTTCATTGTGCTCGTTCAACCGCCTCGAAGTCACCCTTCACATCTGAGAGTTCAGATGAGAGTTCATTGTTGTAGTTCATCATCTGTCATGTGACACTCCATTTTTGAGACGTCTCAAAAGTCGTCGAATTACACTCGAAATCACCCTTCACATCTGAGAGTTCATTGATGTAGTTCATCATCTGTCATGTGACACTCCATCGGCGTTTTAAGGGTCCCCAAACTTCATCGTCTCATCATGTGGTTTCCACCCACCGCTGTCTCGCGTTCTTGCAGCCGGTTTGAGGAGAAGTACGAAGGAGCAGCGCCATCCCAGGCAGGCCAGCCGGATCAGCAGCAGCAGCAGCAGGGGCAGCCGCAGCAGGGGCAGCAATCCCTGTACTCTCAGACACCCAACCAATCATTCGCCTCTCCTGCTGTTCTGGATACTCCAGGAGGAGTAGTTGGAGGAGGAGGAGCAGGAGGAGGAGGAGCAGGAGGAGCAGGGGCAGGGGCGGGGGCGGGGGCAGGGAATACCCCTGGGGGAGGGGCGGCGGGGGCAGGGGGAGAAGGGGGGCCAGCAGGGGCGGGGGCGGGGCGAGCGGGGGAAGCACAGTCAGGCATCGTGCGGCTCACCCCTGCCGAGTCACATGTACGTGTGTGATGTGTGAATTGTCATGTGGGGAGCATGGGAGCTAGCTGTGTGGGATGGTTGGATGGGGGATGAGTCTCGTATGGGGAAGCACAGTCAGGCATCGTGCGGCTCACCCCTGCCGAGTCACATGTATGTTGAATGTGGCGGGGGGGGGGGATGGGGTTAGCCAGATAGTGTCTAGTGAGTGTGATGGGAGCATGGGCAAAGCGGGAGAAGCACAGTCGGGCATCGTGAGACTCACCCCTGCACACTCTCTCCCGTGTTGCACGCTCTCTCACATGTTCCCCATTCTGCCCCATATCTCACACCCCCCCCCCTCTTGCCCCTGGCAGGACTACTGGTTGCTGCCGGATCAGCAGCTGGGTCTCACAGACATGTGGCGACCTGATGGTACGTAGTGAGGTTGAGGGGGGAGGGGGAGGGGTGAGTTTAACAGGGGTAAGTTCACGGTTGAAGGCTGGACGATGTGTGATGGGGTTTGGGCGTTGGTGACTGTGTGTTCTGTTGATGCATTGCCTGCTCCTTTGGACGACCCCACTCGTTTGAACCCGTCTGATGCAGGCATGCCTGGGGGAGGCGGCACCTTCCATGCCCCATGATATATAAACACACTCTCATCTCTCTGCTCGTCCCTTGACTCCCTCCCTTGCTCTCCACCAATCCTCCACCCACCAGGCCCATGGGAGGATCCCACTCGCCTGAATTCATCTGATGCAGGCATGCCTGGGGGAGGTGGGACTCCACACGCGTTTGAAACGCCACCACACACCAGCACCCTTCCCAGCATCCACTGACTGACCCCTCTTTCACAACCCGTGAAGCATTACTCCCATGCCTTTGGAACCTCTTTCCCACAGCAGCCACCTCACACGTACTTGAAACGCCACCACACACCAGCACCCTTCCCAGCATCCACTGACTGACCACCACCAACCTCTGTCCTAGGATTCACTGACCCCCTCCGGGCAATTGTACTGTATTCAGCCAGAGAGTCCACCCTACATGTTGGTCACCTTCCCAGTGACCTCCATGCCTCACCAACCATCCACATAACCCCCAACCTCAACGCAGCCCACCTCGCTCGCCTTTCTTAAAGCCTTTGAAATCAAGAGGTTCAAGGTGAAGATTCCAGCCTTCTGATTGGCCACCTTCCCAGTGACCTCCGCGCCTCACCATCCACATAACTTCCAGCCTCAATGCAGCCCTAATCCTCCGCCTAACCCGTCAATCAACCCACGCTGTGCTTTTGAAAGCACCGCAAAATTCGCCTCACCATTCGCATAACCCTACCCGCCATCACACGCTATTCCGTCTTCTCTCCTCTCCTCTCATGACCCCAGTCCCTGCTTCCTTTTGCCCTTACGAGAAGCTAGCCACATACCAATACACCCATGTGTTGGGTTGGGTTGGGTTGGGTGGGTGGTGGGGTGGTCCCCCTTGAACGCTAACCCCTCCTGCTTGCAGCTGCACGGCACGGCACTTTCAAGAATCTGTAGGAAATAAAAGAAGAGAATGTGCACCTGCCACCTGTGTCTAACAGCAAGAGATGGAGCTGCTACTTACTCCGTTGTAGCTCCTTCGCTCCTAATGTGGACATTCCCGAGAGGTCATGGCCTCTTTAATCATCCTCCCTGAAGTGGCTTGCCATTGCCAGTAGTAGCCCTTCAAATTCTGGGTTTTGTGTGTGTTGTTTAATTGGTACTGGGGTCTTGCACCTGTGTGCTGAAGCCTTTTCGTTATTCGTTTGGCCATGCATTGAAATCATGTACTACGCGGTTTTCTAATATAAGTGCGAAGGCCTGTCTCACCTTGTTACATAAGTAGGTACGGACGCCAAGCTGAAAAATCTAGGGATTCAGTAATTATCTAGTTATATGGAAGAATCTACATGAAGCATATATACACCGCGACACTATCAAGGTTGCCTGCCATCCACGCCGCGCAATGTTCTCTGAGTACGATTAGCTGTTCGAGGGAGGGGGCTTAGGGGGTTTGCGTTCGAGTACGGTGTTAAGTAGAAACCAAGGTTTTAAAAACATATCATTAACTGTTCAGCAAGATTTGCTTTCCCTTTCACCACGGTAGGCGCAGAGAGCCTCCTAGCCCCAGAGCAGCACGCCGCATCCTCCGCCACGATTCGCGGAGCATTCCTGTAGCAGGCGCTTGCAATCGTCCCAACGCGTTCATTCACACGCGCCTTTCACGGGAAAGCGACGTAAATGCGACTCACACTCTTCCCTCAACGCGTCGCGACCTGAATGTTTTAGCCACCGTGGCTTTGACAAGCTCCTAGCTTGAAGTACTAATTTAGTACTATTTTAATTAGATTCTGCCCAGCTCTGTAGAAGCTCGTTGTACAGCTTCTAAGTTTCCATTCCCTCGATATAGGCTCCCAACCTCCACGAAACCGCATTCGCCGGTTAAGCAATGGCGACGCTTTGCTCTCTACGATCAGCGACAGCGATAGGTCTCCCGCCATTTCCCGCTCCCATTTCGTCCCAGTTCTCCGCTTCTAGTGCCGCCAGTACTTTCGGCTCGCGATCCTGCTTAAGCCTCTCCCCTTACTCGTGTTCGTCCTCTATCTCTCGGTTATCCCGTCTCTCGTCCGGCCATCCCACCTCGCCATCCTTCCCTCGTCCCACGCCGTTCCTAGCTCCAACCCCCGCGAAACCCGCCGCGTATCGCGCTCGAGCGTCCAGACCTCAGCTCCAAGTGACCCGCGCCGCGACCGAACGGAGTGGCGCCGGCGGCGGCGGCGGCGGGGGGGGAGGGAAAAACTCCCCCAGCTGGGCAGATGCGCTGTGGCGAGGCACGCTGAGGCGGCTGGCGTCGTTCCCGCTGGCCATCGGGTTGCTCTTCGCCGTTGCTGGGCTGTGCGCTGTGGGTGCGTTGATGGGTGTTTGAGTTCATTGATCTGTGGATCTTTATTTTAACCAACCGATGCCATCCGTTGGAGAGGAGAGGCACTGGTGGACTGTTATGAATGCATCCGCCTGTCCTCACCTTTCCTCACCTCTCCTCACCTCTACTCACCTCTCCTCACCTCTTTCCCTCTCCCCTTCCCTCCTCCCTTCCCCTCTCTTCTGGTTCCCCCCTTCTCCGCCCTTTTTATTTTCTTCCAGGCACCTTGATAGAGCAGGGAGCACGGCCGTCCGATTACGTGGCGCTGTTTCCCGACGGCACTTTGCTGAGCTGGCAGGTGCGTGATGACGTGGCCATAAATCAGTGCTGACGTGGCAGGCTGCCTGCTGATTTGTCAAGACTGCAGGTGCCATTGCCGATTCATCAGATACTCGTGACTTGAGCTTGTACTGTCTTTGCGTTTTTACCTTGGGAAGTGCAAAGGAGTGACCCCTCTTCTGCCCTCCCAGAAAAAAACATTCTGAGAATTCTCAAACGTGACGTGACACAAGCATGACCGTCCTGTGGATTTCCCCGCACCCCCCTTAGCCCGCAGCTCGTGCTGGCTCTGGGGTTTGACCACGTGTACAGCTGACCGCACTTCCTCATCGCCCTCTCACCAACCTTGGCATACTCCGTTCCCCTCGCTCCTCTGCTCGCCAATGTATCTCAACTCAACCACGCAGCTCGTGCTGGCTCTGGGATTTGATTGACCACGTGTATAGCTCACCGCTCTTCCCCAAGCCCTCTCACCATCCCTTTCAACACCCCTCTTCCACTCCCCCCTCTTTTTCCAAATGTACTCTTCTCATGCAGATCGTCTTGGCTCTGGGGTTCGACCACGTGTACAGCTCGCCACTCTTCCTCTCCCTGCTGCTGCTGCTCGCCGCCTCCCTTGCTGCCTGCACGTCAGTGCGCCAGCTGCCCATGCTCAAGGTCGCCCAGAGGTGAGGCGTGGGGTCACACTGTGGTGTGGTGAGCGCAATAATATGTAGCATTTAAAATGACACGCAGGCTGTTATTAAGCATTTCCCACTGTGGTGAGCGCAAGGTTATGTAGGATTTAAAACGACGCATACTCTTCTCCCCCTCTCCCCACCCTCCTCCTCTCTCGCCCCCTCCCGCCCCCCATCCTCCTCTTCAAATCCTGTGCGTCGATCAATCAGGTGGTCCTTCATCCAACGGCCAGAGTCTCTCCGCCAGATGGACTTCTCTGATTCGCTGGAGAGGGCGCAGATTGCTGACCTGGCAACGCTGCTCATGCGCAAAGGATACCAGGTGCGGTGTGAGGCTCGGTGGGTGCGGTATGTGTAAGGCTCGGTGGAAGAGTGGTGGCAAGAGTGGTGGCAAGTGTGGTGGGTTTCGCTTCCCTACTTTCTTTCCATCTCTTGGTTCACGCGCAAGGAGTCAGTCAGGGACTACTTTTGAGGCGCCTAAAAAATGGTGGCAAGAGTGGTGGGATGCGCTTCCCAACTTTCTTTCTTTCCATCTCTCGGTTCTTTCTTTCCCGACCCAAGGAGTCAGTAAGGGACTAACCACCCAGTGTTCAAGGGCCTGGCAACTCAGAAGGGTCGTTTTTGAGACGTCTCAAGAACAACCTTTCTCCTCTTCCGTTCCATCTCCCAATTCACGTGCAAGGAGCCAGTCAGGGACTAAGCATCCAGTGTTTAAGGGCCTGGCGGGGTGAGCAGTAGCACCGATAGGGCCGTGGGTGGGTATGCAGTGCAGCCCATGGACGCACACCTTCACGGGTGCAGGCAGTGTATTTTGAAGCGCCTCGAAATACACCTCAATGCTTGAGTAGTAGCACCGATAGGGCCGTGGGTGGGCGTGCAGTGCAGCCCATGGACGCTCACCTTCACGGGTGCAGGCAGTGTATTTTGAAGCGCCATGAGTCGACTCAAAAGTCAATTGATAGGGCCATGGGTATGCAGTGCAGCCCATGGACGCACACCTTCATTCATGGGTGCAGGCAGTGTATTTTGAAGCGCCATGAGTCGACTCAAAAGTCAATTGATAGGGCCATGGGTATGCAGTGCAGCCCATGGACGCACACCTTCATTCATGGGTGCAGGCAGTGTATTTTGAAGCGCCATGAGTCGACTCAAAAGTCAATTGATAGGGCCATGGGTATGCAGTGCAGCCCATGGACGCACACCTTCATTCATGGGTGCAGGCAGTGTATTTTGAAGCGCCATGAGTCGACTCAAAAGTCAATTGATAGGGCCATGGGTATGCAGTGCAGCCCATGGACGCACACCTTCATTCATGGGTGCAGGCAGTGTATTTTGAAGCGCCATGAGTCGACTCAAAAGTCAATTGATAGGGCCATGGGTATGCAGTGCAGCCCATGGACGCACACCTTCATTCATGGGTGCAGGCAGTGTATTTTGAAGCGCCATGAGTCGACTCAAAAGTCAATTGATAGGGCCATGGGTATGCAGTGCAGCCCATGGACGCACACCTTCATTCATGGGTGCAGGCAGTGTATTTTGAAGCGCCATGAGTCGACTCAAAAGTCAATTGATAGGGCCATGGGTATGCAGTGCAGCCCATGGACGCACACCTTCATTCATGGGTGCAGGCAGTGTATTTTGAAGCGCCATGAGTCGACTCAAAAGTCAATTGATAGGGCCATGGGTATGCAGTGCAGCCCATGGACGCACACCTTCATTCATGGGTGCAGGCAGTGTATTTTGAAGCGCCATGAGTCGACTCAAAAGTCAATTGATAGGGCCATGGGTATGCAGTGCAGCCCATGGACGCACACCTTCATTCATGGGTGCAGGCAGTGTATTTTGAAGCGCCATGAGTCGACTCAAAAGTCAATTGATAGGGCCATGGGTATGCAGTGCAGCCCATGGACGCACACCTTCATTCATGGGTGCAGGCA